ATCATCAGTCATTTGGGACAACATTGGATCATTCATAGATCCTCACTGAATTTCTGGAGTGAGTTTGCTGCACTGAAAGTAGAGGGGCCGAATAATATTGCACACCCCACTTTTCAGTTTTTTATTTGTCAAAAAAGTTTGACACATCCAATAAATTTCATTCCACTTCATGATTGTGTCCCACTTGTTGATTCTTCAGAAAAAAAAAAAAATATATCTTTATGTTTGAAGCCTGAAGCCTGAAATATGGCAAAAGGTTGAAAAGTTCAAGGGGGCCGAATACTTTCGCAAGGTACTGTATATATATTAGGCATTTTAAACCATTCCCACACTCTTGCAATGTTCTACACAATGTTTCTAAACTCTAAATGCTCTAAAAGAGCACAGAATGTCATGATTACAACTCCCTGCCTCGTCTGCTCTGAGCCACCTGCAAGCGATCTTGGCCACGCTGCCTTCACTGCTCTGCACAGAGAACAGCTGATCATCTGCAGCAGGAAATTTATCCTGCAGCTGCATGGGCAGCAAAAATTTGCATTAAGACGCTTTTTCTTCAGCTCTGGGTTGCACAAATGTGCAGCAGGTGCTAAATAATTTTAAATAATTTATTTTAAATAAAAATTCCATGCCGATTGTGTAGCTCATCCATCAATCAGCCAATTGTGTGTCATGTCCAATCTTATTTTGAAAAACCGCAATAGAGCGAGTCCGTGACAAACGAACCGCGAAGTAGCGAGGGACTACTGTACAGCACAAGTGACCAATAGCTTTGATTAGGATGGTGGCTCGAACTGGTTATATGGAACTTGGGCAGCACCAATTATATAAATAAACATAGTATCACGTATAGAATAAGAAATGATCAGATTCTGTTTCTGCTCCTGATTTGGGGCCGAAGGGCCACCACCTCTGGATCCAAAGGTCCTGGGTTCAATCCCCGGTTATGCACATGTCGTGGTGTCTCTGAGCAGGACACTCAATCTCAAATTGCTCCCCAGGCACCTATATAGCTGCACACTGCTCCACCTGGGTGAATCCCAGGTGCGATGGGTTAAATGCAGAGAGCCAGTTTTGTCTTTATATGGGAACATACAATGATGACAACACATAGCCATTTATTTAGTTATATGTTTTCCTCCTGTTTCAAAGCTATGAACCCCTCATAAAATTAAACAATTTTCATCCATCTAGTCTATCATTTGGTAACGCTATCAGCTGTGTCGTCTCTGCTTAAGGAAATTTCTTTTTGCACCCACACACTTTTGTATGTACTATGGTTTGTTAAGTATGGAACATTCATTTGTTCTGTTCATTAGGACACTGTGGTACTGACACATGGTCAATCACCCACAACAGTATTTTATAGTTAATCTCACCGCTGCAGGACGAACATCAGGTTTCAAGAACTGAAGGGATCGTTTCAGTGCAAGTGTAATGAAGGCAGTCAACCAGGGACCTTGGTCTTTCTACATTAAACACAGACATTACAGGTACTCAGTTTGTTGTTATTTAAACAATGCTCTTGCATAAAAACATAACATGGAATTTACCTGAACATCTCTGTGTAACGCAAGTTTTGAGTCAATGAATGACCCTTCAGGCTGCTGTAATGAGAGCAAGTATCTGACTGAGTCGTTGAGGTCTTGTTCTATTGAAACATCAATAACTTGACCCTGTGGTTCAAAAGCTGCTGTTTGACGCTCCCCCACCATAGACAGAACTTTCACTATATAAGCAGTCACCCTGAGCAATTGGGAAGAAAAAAAAAGATTGACAGATGTCTCGTTAAGATTAATTTTGAATATTACAATTAAAATATGTAAAGCTAGTTCAATTGGTGAAATATTTTTCATGGCAAAAGTTCATTAAAAGAAATTCAAATAAAAAATTAAATGTTTACTTACCAGCTGCTAGATTGAGCAAAATAAAATGGTCCATAAGCTCCATTGTTACTTTTCTTATAGTTGAAAATTCTCATATAACCTGAAAAAAAGTGATTACTATATTTAAAGTAATTGCAGTACTTTATTTTTTAAGAATACACTGCCATATTCCATAACACTTATGCAAAAATGTATGGAAACATAACAGTACAAATTGTATTTGACCCAATGAAAATCTTTCTTAGTTACTAATTTAGCATGTTGTTTTGTACAGTAATAATCCACTGCTGCACCACAGCTCAGCTCGTTAGACATCATAGTCTCATCACGGTATTCTGTCAGTTTTAACACCTAAACTGGAACTCTACTATTCTTCTAACCTGCCATTCTTTGAACAATTGTACCCTTAAATACCTTAAACCACCACACTTTGCATCCTCCCTCCATTCATATTCGTAACTTCTTTAAACATATAGATATGTACTATACTGCTTTTCTTAATTAATTTACATTTTTGCAACATCATCTCTAATACTTATCCCAATCCTCTAAATGCACTCTTACACCTTGCATACATTCAAAATGTATATAAATGTCTATATAATTCCTCTTTTTTATTATCACATGTCTGGGGTCTGTAAGACCCATTCCAGCAAAATCCCAACGACCACAGTATGTTGCTACTTCCATCTGATCTCCTCTGCTATTTCCTCAAATAACGCTCTTAAAGCCGACATCAAACCAACAAAGTAAACAAACGGTTATATTTTCACCAACATTTTGATTTAATTTCAGCACAGGGTGCCAGCTAAATACTATCAGTTTAATGCAGCAGCATTTTTTCCTCATGAGCATCTCTTTATATCAGAAACTATAAGACAGGTAAAAAAAATATCCAAGTTCTACATCTTTGCTGAACCCTCCAAATTTCTGGAACATAGAATAATTTCCTTCTACAGCCGAGCCACTTGCTCCATCCAAACCTGACTTTACCGTGCAGAAACCTGGACCAGTTCACAATCAGCATACTGTTCTCCCTCACTACAATGACTGACTTCAACTGCTTATGTGTTCTTTGACTCCACTACATCTAAACTTTTTAAGAAGTTCAAAATTGAGAGTGTGAGATAGTACTGCATCACATCTCAGCGTCTCCTTCTTCCTAGCCTCCAATCAAGACACTTCCCAAATGCAACTCAACCTTGTATCCTCATTTCAACAAAATATTAATTTGTGAACTCACTTGCGTTGTGGTCCCTGCTAGTGAACTGGGTATTTCGTTGAAATTAGTAATATATTACAATAATAATTGACACTTTCTGCAGCATTGTCTTTTTCTTATATTGTGTTTTGTTATTCTAATTATTTGATTCATTAGCTATCTTTCTGCTTGCAAAGGGAAGAGACCTTTCCCCTGCTATCTACAGGCAAAACATGGATTAAAACCCTGGCCATATTGCCATTCCATCACATTTTTCTTTGATTGATGTTGGCCATTAAAGTGGATTAGACTGCTACTGCAACAAGGCCAAATGCTCTTCAAAACACCCGAAATCAGAAATATGAACATACTTTTTAAAATGTAGATGCTGTGTAACATTTTTATGTTGGACATACCATATTTAATATTTTCAAGAGCCCTATCTCTGGCATCAGGAGGCAGGTCAAACCATTGATCACTTAAGTCAAGGTAGCGGTGGGCCAAGACTGCAGGTACTAGTCTATTTGTTGTCTGTTCTAAACATCCTTTTGGCAGTTTAATCAAACTGTTCACTTTCTCTGGAGAAAGAAGATTCTTTGCATGTGAACTTCCAAATCCATCCCCTGTAGATGAGAGTACAGAAAACGTAAGACACACCATTTATACAATGAGTTACATCTCTGTGTCTGACAGAACACACCTTCTATTGAAATGAATATATTGGAGCTGGAGTCAGGGACTGTTTCATGTGGCAAAGTACCATCAATATGTAGAGTCTTTGAACTCCGCCCTGCAATGACAAATGGATGTAACTTAAGAAAAAGAAATAAATGACAAAGTCTGGCAACTACAAACAGAAATATTAAAATCACTCACCATCTAATTTAACCACATTGGTTTTTTCATCTCTTTGTTCAAATCCTTCTGTCTGCAACATAATTAAACAGTGCAGAAATTTAAAACGTGTTGTTCGTGTTTTTGTTTTGTTCCTTTTGTTGACGTGAAACAATAATTATTTTAGAAAGATAATTGATCTATCTATCACTAACCTGCACATTCAAACTTTTTTCCACTGCATCTATTCCCCAGCTATTTTCAACATCATAAAGACGTATTTTAATGGGTATTTTTCCAGTTACCATGGGGACAGCAGAGAAAGAAACAAGCTGAGAAGACAGTGGTTTCACATCAGTTGTTACATAGGAGACTTTAGTGGCTGAAGCAGGAGAGCAAAGTCCTTCGGTTTGTTCCATATGAACCGCCAGCTGTGGAAATGCAGGGTTTCAGGGAAGAATTCAGCGTTATAAATTTAGTTAGGTTTTATTTTAATATTTGTCAACTGAATTATTTTACAACGAGACTAAATGCAAACAGTAGGTAGTTCATTTTTACCTTTAGTGTTTTGTTGACGTAGTTGTAAATAACAGGTGAAATGGATAGTTGCTCATATTTTTTGACTGAGTAGGGCAGCCTCAAAGACACAAATGTTTCTTTAAATGCTTTGATTTCATGTGGTTTAACTACACATAAGCCTAAAAGAAGAAGAGTAAGTTTTAACAAGCTCTGTCATACAATATTAAAGAAAAAAAAAGTAAAACTATTCTTACCAGTAGCAGGAGATAGCGTGACCACTTGGATTTCCCATGTTGTTATGGAATCAGGTAGAGTCAAGTAATGCCTAGAATATCAAAGTTCATGCTCAATAATCTAGGTAAAAAATCCAACAAATTTCAGTTAGGTCATCTGGACGGTTTATTTATTTATTTTTGTTGAGACGTTTTGTCCTTTATCCAAAGGACTTCATCAGTCCAAGGAGCCACAACAAGCTCAGTCCAACAAGCAGCACACTTTCATAGTGGACCAACCAGTTCGTTGGTGATAAGATGGTTTCTGTTACCCACCCTCTCCCCCGTCGGCCCCTCCGAGGCAGCCAAAGTGGTTCAAAACATTAAATTTCTGATGAAGTCCTGATGACTGATGTAGTCCTTAGGATGAAGGACGAAACACCTCAACAAACAAAAATAAACCATCCATATGACCTGACTGAACTTTGTTGGAACACCTAGAATAATATTTATTCATGTGAAATCAATCACTTTGTTGTAAAATGTTTTTAACAAATGTGTAGTCTTCCTCTGTTTTGACTAACAAAGGGCAACCTGCCTACCTTATACAGACTAGTAGAGAAATGTGAAATTACAATACAAAATCTACAAATGCTGAGTATGGAAACAAATAAGTTTTGATAAGAATAAAAAAATCCCACTTAGTTTCATTAAAAGAAAAAAAGTTCACTATCCATATCTTACATTTTTTTGCCTTTCACTTCAAACACTGTAAATGCAAAACTTGGAGAGAAATATCGCCGAATATATTGCGCAGAAGTATCCATGAAAAAGTTTTCAATTTCATCTGTGGTTGTAGCTAAAAATAGAAAAAAAAAAGAAAAGTTTGTTTTTAAACAATAATAACACCATAGTTGGTAAATGCTGTTCAAAAGTAAATGTTTTAAGTGTTTCAGCTCACTCCTGCCGAGTCCGCTCTTGTCATCCTCTAGCATCTTTTTTTGTTGTAACCTCTCTGCTTCTTTGCAGCATTGTAGAAACACGTCAACACACGTTTGATTTTCTTTCACTAGTTGAACTCTAGTTGCTCTTTCCTCACATGTTCGTCTCATAGGGATGGGAGAAAATCCATCAGTGCAACAGTCTTGCAGGTCTGGATCTTCAAATTTTGATTCTGAAAGTAACATTCCGAGAAACAAGTTAGAAAACCATGTTAGCACATTCTTTTTATATGCATCAAAACATTTCAGACCAGAGGTTAAGATATCTTACTTAAAGTGATGATTTCCTGTTGGAAGTCCACAGAACGTCTTTGTCGTGCAGTTTGTGAATCACACCCTAAACCTGGATAGGAAGTAAAGACAGATTGATATTTATAAAGTTGAATAAAAAGTTAACGCATGATAAACTCTGGTAAGAAGAAGTACAATGGCTGGCAGTCATTGGTTGCACACTGACTTTGTGGTTGACATTTTTGACTCGCAGCAAAAAGGTCCTGGGTTCAATCCCCGGATTAAATCTTGTGTCTTTCTGTGTGGACTTTGCATGTTCTCCTCCAGTTTGTGTTTTTTTTCCCGGCTACTCCGGTTTCCTCCCACACTTCTAAAATATGTGCATTAGGTTGCCTTCAAGCTCAGGCCTCTCTTGCTAAACAGAACTGTGATCTCAGTGGGATTTTCCTGGTTAAATAAAGGTTAAGAAGTGATACACTGATGTCCCTGGTTGCTGAGAGATTTGAATAGTAAATGTTTGTATTTTCCAAGATTAGTGTTTTTCTGGACTGCAATTGAACAGGGAATGCAAGTAAATTGCTCCTGCCACTCATCAGGATCAATCTCTCTGTGCTACCTCAGACACGCAAAAAAAACCTCTGTTTTTATACACAAAGTAATTCCTATCCACTTTAATATCTTGCACAAAAAACATTAAAGTTTACATGCATTCCCGTTTTTTGTTTCATTTCAGAAAAACACTCATCTAATATTCACTATTCAAATCCCTGAGCGACCAGGGACATCACATACCACTTGTTATAATGGCAATATTTTCCTCTTTAATTTAGCCAGTGTACTTTTATGTTTCAAGAGTTTTGAGCTGAAAATGAATGGAGGTTACGATTCAAATCCAAACCTGAACACGCTACATGCTTACTACATTCTGATGATGCACAACCTCATGTGCAATCCACCTTATTCATTTACATAGCTAGTCACTAACTTTCTGTCAGGTGTTCATGCAGCCTGCAGTCAAACGCCCAACACTTGATACCAGACAGAGCAGATGTTGGACAATGCTGCTGTTGTTGTCATTGCTGTTTTATGTTTACATGAGTTGCTGCCCCTTGTCCAGGTTGTCTTTGTAAATGAGAACTGGTTCTCAATTGACTTACCTGGTAAAATAAAGGCTTTTGATTTTATTGCTCAGCATAGATCTGTGTTATTTATTAGTTTAAATTATTAACAGTTTTTGTGTTTTCATCAAAATGGCAACTGGCAGAATACAGAAATATTGTTAAGAAAGAATTACAGAAAACAGTCTCTATCATATTGTAGACAGAACTGTGTTAGTGAAGAACTAAGAAAAAAAGAACAATCATCACTTGGATGTTGCTTTAAACTACTTCCAGGAAAACCCACAATAGTCACTGAAAAAACTTGAGCAGACAAATGTATATTAAACAGTTCTAAATATCAGCTACTGAAAATCAGTTGATGCATTTGGATTGTGATTCAACTAAATTATATTTATATTTATAATTAAATTGGCCTTGACAAAAAAAGATGGTACCCTATATTTTGCTGCACAACCTTTTGAGGAAATCACTGCAGTCAAACAAGTTTTATAACTCTTTCTGAGACTTCTGCACATGTTGACAGGTATTTTGGCCCCCTGCTCATGAGTAAACTGCTCCAGCTGTCTCAGATTTGATGGATGCCTTTTCAAGACTGCATGTTTCAGCTCCTTCCACAGATTTTCAGTAAGATTCAATTCAAATCATGGCTCAGACAGCCACTTCACAAAAGTCTTTGTTCTTAGCCGTTCTTGGATGTTTTTAACTTTGTGTGATGAGTCATTAATGTGAGTTATCTGTCTAAATAAAGGTTGAATTGAATTGAATTATTTTGTTGGAGGACCCATAACCTGTGACTGAGACCAAGCTTTCTCTGACACTAATGCTGCTCATTTAACTCCAGAATGCCTTGGTAGTCTTGATATTTTATTGAATTCTGCACTGATTCAAGACACCCTGTGCCAGATGCAGCAAAGGAGCCCCATAACATGACCGAACCTCCTCCATGTCTCATCTTACTATGTTCTTTTCTATGTATGTTTCCTTTTTGGGTCTGTGAACATGACTTGTTACCAAAAAGACCCATTATCCTCTTATCTGACCAAAGGCAATTATTTTCGTGGCTTGTCTATATACATTCTGGCAATTTCAAGTCTTGCTTATTAATGATCTGGCAACCTACTTAGTTGTCTTCCATTAAGTCTACTTTGGTTCAAACAGCAACAGATGGTATGATCAGAAACTGATGACCCTTAATCTTGGAGTTTGCCTTTAATCTCTTTGGAAATAGTTCTGGGCTTTTTGGTTACCATTCATATTGTCTTCACGTTGTCATCAGTTTTCCTCTTGTGGCCACATCCACAACATTTGACTACTGTCCAGTGGGAATTAAACTTAATATGTGCAGACGTAGTCACAGGAACATTAAGCTGCCTAAGGCCCTGTCACACTATAACATTTTAGACAACTTATGCTGACGTATGAAAATTTTATCCAACACGCTGGCATACACTAACGATGGAATCTAAAAGAGGATGCCTCTTTTGGATGTATACACCATGTTGCTAACTAGTTGAAAAAATAAATAATCTAACATATGAGTAACTTATCATCTATACCTTGTCACTAGCAGATACTAAACTTATACAAGTATATGACAGTGTTTTTGTGGCTCTCCTCCACAGTTCTGCACTTACCTCAGTATCTCCTACACACACAGCTCTTGCTCAACTAGCAAGACACATATTTTATATTAAATGTTACAGATCTGTTAGAAGTGCGTTGCTCATAGGTTAGAAATAAGTTAGGCATATACTACATAATTGCCCAACTGGTTTCTGACATTTGTCATCTTACTTATGTGTACTGTGTGTGAACTTGTGCATATCTTGCCTGTTGCATACCTGTAATATGCTCAACTTGTCAGCAACACGTCGGCATACACTGAAAATGCTGTGGATGCGCAAAATATTTGTCTGGCTTCGCCATACGACAAACCTATGCCATTGTCATGTCATTTAAAAAAAATAAAAGGTCCAAGCTGCTACTGTTTGTGAATCTAAAAAAGCTGATAAAAAAATTAAGTTAAGACTAATTGGTCTAGGTTTTAGGGTGATTAAAATATGTTTAAAAACAACTAGTTGCCACTGTGGGCAGCATGGTGGCTCAGTGGGTAGAGCTGTTGCCTGTCAGCAAGAAGGTCGCCAATTCAAATCCCAGCCAAGGACCTTTCTGGGTGGAGTTTGCATGTTCTCTCCATGCAAGTGTGGGTTTTCTCTGGGTGCTCTGGTTTCCTCCCATGGGCTAAAAACATGCATGTTAGACTGATTGGTAACTCTAAATTGTCCTAGTGTGAGTGAGAGAGTGAATGGTTGTTTGTCTCATTTGTCTCTATATGGCCCTGTGATGAACTTGCGACCTGTCCAGGGTGTCCCCCGCCTCTCGCACAGTGATTGCTGGACATGGGCATCAGTGACTCCCACGACACGAAAAGAAAGAAGCGGGTAAAGATAATGGATGGATGGATGATAGTTTTCACTGTCTTACTTTTCCTTGAACTTGACATGGACTGAGATGCAAAAGAAAGGCCAGCATCTACAAAGACTGATGAAGAGTTGGATCCTCCACCGTATGTACAGCCAAGGTCATATGACTTCATGGTAGAAAATACCTGGGGAGTGAAAGCAAAATCTTAGGCAATCTAAAATGTGTTATGATTAAAATGACAGAAAACATGAAAATGGGATGTAACCTGTTTGGCTGTAAGTTTATTATCAGCGTTCAGACCGTAGAAGGCTTTATCCACAGCCAGCAGTGCCACTTTAGATGAGTGACCATTTAGGTCCAGTTGTAGCACAGTTGTTTTTGCAGGCTTAGGCTGTCCTTTATGTTCTACCTAAATTTGGATGAAGATATTGGTATTAATAAGATTGGTGTATATAGATACTGTACATACATTTACACATGTATAAATACATACATATACATATTGATAAGATTAGTGTATACTATTTTTTTTTTCATTTAGCCTTTATTTATCCAGGTTAGTCTCATTGAGCCACGAGAACTCATTTTCAAGAGAGACCTGTTTAGGGAGCACATGGTGGGGGTTAAGGGCCTTGCTTATGGGCCCAGAGTGGGGCGAATGAGGGTGGGGGCAAGTGTGGGTGTTTCACCTACTCCACCCACAATTTTGATGTTGTCGGGGCCGGGGCGTGAACCGGCGATCTTCGGATCACAAGCCCACCTCTCTAACCTCTGCGCCACTGTTTTTTATTTTTACAAAATTATATGGTAATTTTGTAATACAATAAACAAATCATACATCTAGTACTCGCGTCAAGAAATTCTAAATTTCTAAACAGCATTTTTTGGCATTCAATCATATAAAAGCAATCATTGCAACATATGCCATTTTGATTAGTCTTTTTAAAAATAATGTTAGTTTGAAACCTGAAAATTAATCATTCATCTTTAAATCACTCTTTTTTTACCTTTGCATATTAGAAATTATACAAAAGGTCCGACTTATGACATTTAATTCAATGTAGTCAACCTCTGTAAGATTATTTCTTTATTCTCTTAATGAGCTCCAGCTGTACTTTTTCTGTGTTTACTCACCTTGACCTTTATCTCACATTCATCCCTAACATCGACCCACACTGAGTCAGCTATGATGTCACCATTCGTGGCATAATAGTAACCAATCAGGCGGAAAGATGGAACCATATCCTCTGTTATTTGTATTTTTTGTTTAACTGATGTACCTAATGGAAGTGAGCCGGTTTTTATTATGATCCCACGGCTTAAAATCTGCAACAGATACAGTAAAAGTGAACAATCTTGACTGAATGTTTTTAATTTTTCTCCAAACTTGTGTTATATTCAATCACTAATACTGTTTCTCACCATGTAGTATATATATCCTTGACTTGGGCCTTCATTTGTGTTGAACGTCACAAAAAGTACGTCTTTCACAGAGTGTACCTTGTTGGTAATTGCTATGTAAAGGCTGGCAATTGATGATGAAATGCGTTTTATAATTTTGCTTTCGTGAACACCATCTGCTGACACCTGGAAAAAACAAAGGTGAAAACAAATAAAACTAAACCAAAGTGTATTTTATACAACACTTTACTGAAATTGTGAATACTAACTTTCACTTTAATCTCAGCCACTTGAATATTATTAAAGGCAGAATAAACAGCCCCGTCTGAATCAGTGATGCCTTGCCAAATCTGCAAAGATTTGTCTGCAGTAACAGTAATATTTATTGGCACATCAGCTGCTGGGGTGCCATCTGGGAGTCGCATGACCACCTTAAAAAAAAAAAAAAAAACTTTTAGAAATGATCTTAAGGGTAATGTAACAAGCAGTTTATTCATTTGTTAGTCTCTGACATACCACTACATCAAGTGGATATCCAGGAGAAAAATAGGAGCGAGTTCGAGACAAATCTATGCCGTATTTCTGGGAAATAATTGGAATGTAAACCTCTCCTTGTTGTATTTCACCACCTAAATTAAGAAATGTGCAAAAAAACATTAATTTTCTCAATTTTACATATTGTTTCTAGTACACTTGTTTTTTTTTTCTATAATCAATACTGGTACCATCTTTTGAAATTTAGAGAAGCCTATGCAGTAGGTAATCTTAATAAAAATGTCTCTTTCAATGTCTGTGTCTATTAGCTTGTGGCAGAGTTCTGACAATACATTACCAGACAAATAACTATTTTTTTCTTCACACAAACTACAGCAAAATAAATAAATAAATAAAATAAAATTGTTATCCTACAGAGAAAATGCTTTAAGTTATCCTAATCAATGTTTACATTATCCTGATGCTCAATAATCCAGGTAGATAAATCGAACAAGGCTGATTCAGATCCTTTGGATGGGTTCTTTGTTGAAACGTTTTGTCTTTTATCCAAAAGCCTTATTCAGTCTGAGAACCTGCAAGCAAACTCAGTCTTACAAGTAGCACCTTCTAGTTTGCAGGTGACCACCAAAACTAGTTGTTCACATGCAAAAGTGGGACCATCACTCTACTGGTTTGTGCCCTGGTGTGCTTGCTATTCACAGAGGGCTGAGTGATACTCACAATAACAGCAATCCTAATCTTAATCCTAATGCAGTTATTACCCTCTTATAATGCTCTTATTATAACAAAGAAGAACTCATCCAGAAGAGCTGACTCAACATTGTTAGAATGTTTACATTGTTTTTGCAGTAACATCTTAATAAGTTCATTGTTTTTAGTCCACACTGGGATACTGTCTTTCTAAAATTATATTTTTCATGATACTACATTACCATTTCTAGAAATGTTTCAATCCACACGGAAACAAAGAAAACAGCCCAGTAACTATGTCAGGCCTATTTGTGGCATTGTAATGCTGTCATGCTGTAATAAAAATACACCAGAAATGATAAGGAATATTATATAGAGCCTGAAAAAAGTGGGAATTAACATATATACTGTGAAGGAATTATTATTTATTTTACTTTGAATGTTGGTGACAAATACTCCCACATAGAGTTGTGATCCTCTTTTCAGCAAGTCGGAGAGAGTTTGGTTCAGTTGTTCCATTACTTTTGAATTAATCTTTTCTAATTGAAGATTAAGTGTTGCAATTCCATCCTGGACCTGTAAAAAATGCATGCATTAATATTGTTTTAAGTAGTTTAATTAAGCATTTAAAAATAGAACATGTCAGATTTTGAATGTGCTCTGTTATGAATTGGAAATAGACGTTTATTTACCGAGCCTGTCAGTTCCAGCCCCTTAATGAAGTCAGGCGCTTTTTGATCATAGGCTGCATCTTTTTTTATGACTCCAAACTGACAGTGGTAAGCCCCTTTAACTTTCTCACCATGTGAGTACCTAGAAAAAATATACTATTAAAGCTGAGATGCAGAGATAGACCAAAATGGCAACATTAGTGTTTAAAGCTTGTGATTCAGAAATTAGGCTTTAACACTAGCTTGTTATTATTAATTTTGCTGTAAACAACACAGTTTTCCCATTTTATTAATTTCATTACATTATAAGACGTATTTGATTTCAACTTCTTATGTGCATAAAGCGGGCAGCACGGTGGCGCAACTGGTAGAGCTGCTGCCTCTCAGCGAGAAGGTCCTTGGTTCAAACCCCGATCCAGGGGCCTTTCTGGGTGGAGTTTGCATGTTCTCTCCGTGCATGCGTGGGTTTTCTCCGGGTGCTCCGGTTTCCTCCCACAGACCAAAAACATGCATGTTAGGCTGATTGGTAACTCTAAATTGTCCCTAGGTGTGAGTGAGAGAGTGAATGGTTGTTTGTCTCGTTTGTCTCTATGTGGCCCTGTGATGGACTTGCGACCCGTCCAGGGTGTACCCCGCCCCTCGCACAGTGATTGCTGGACATGGGCACCAGCAACCCCCGTGACCCAAAATGGAATAAACGGGTAAAGATAATGGATGGATGGATGGATGGATGTGCATAAAGCACACTTGCCCATAACATTAATTATTGACTGAACAAAGAGCTGTCAAAGGACGTAAATGACATAAGTGTGCAAACTTACAGAATCAACAGGGGATTTAAGGCTATTTTCATTACAAGTTTTATCCAGCACAAAAGTATGTATAACAGCCCAATTAACGGAAACTATTTTTTTTTAGCAAGTAAACTAATTAAACCCCATGACTTAGGTTTGTAGAACCATCTTTGTAGAATCTTCTATAACTCGGAATTGGAAATACTTTCCTTCTGTCCATCTCTGTGTGTTATGAGCATGATAATTTGAAAACTAAGTAAGGCACAGACTTCTATTTTAGTGTGTGGCTGCATCTAGGTGTAAGAAAGGTCCTAATCAAATACTGTGTTGCTGCATAAAAATTCAAGCTGGCTGCCACCATATATGTCCATCCATCTTGTGAGATGGAAAAGTTGAAAAATAAGTGAGGTACCATCTTCCATTATGGTGTGTGGTTGCATCTTGGTGTGAAAATGGTCCCAGTCCAAAATTTGCTTGCCACGTCAAAATTCAAGATGGCTGCCACCTTATATGTACACCTTGTGTGCTGGATAACTTGGAAAAATAAGTGAGGTACTGACTTCCATTGTGGTGTCTCACTGCATCTAGGTGTAAGAAAAGTCTCTATGAAAAATTGAGTTGCCACGTAAAAAGATTGCCACTACTGTATAAGAAAACTATATTTTTTAATAATAATAATAATAATAATGTCATCACAATGTCAGCACTGTATGTTTCCATACAATGGCGAAATTAGTCTCTGCATTTAACCCATCCACCACCAGGTGGTGCAGTGGGCAGCTATTGAAAGCGCCCGGGGGACATTTTGGGGATGAGACGTGCTGCCCAGAGACGCCACGTGATGTGCAGTGACTGGGGATCGAACCTGGGACTTTCGGGTCCCAAGCCGGCTGCCCTGCCTCTACACCATCTCGGCCCCCATAATTGCTTAAAAGTATAGTTCTCTCAGATAAGCGAGTCTGAAATTAGCAACTTCCATTTTGGTGGGTGGAGTGGTGGTTCCCCTCTTCAAAAAGGGGGACCGGAGGGTGTGCTCCATATATAGGGGCATCACCCTCCTTAGCCTTCCTGTTGAGGTCTGTTCAGGGGTACTGGAAAAGCGAGTCTGATCATTGGTTGAACCTCAGAACCAGGAGAAACAATGTGGGTTTCGTCCTGGCCATGGAACACTCTTTTCCCTCACTAGGGTCTTCGAGGGACCATGGGAGTTTTCCCATTAAGTCTACATGTGTTTTGTGGACTTGGCAAAGACATATGACCGTGTTCCTCGTGGTACATTGGGGGGGGGGGGGGGGGTGTGCTCCGTGAGTATGGAATTGGGGGGCCGTTATTACGGGCTGTTCAGTCCCTATACAAGCGGTGCGAGAGTTTGGTTCACATTGCCGGTAGTAATTCGGACCTCTTCAGGGTGGGAGTTGGACTCCGCTGGAGCTACCCATTGTCACCAATTCTGTTCATAATTTTTATGGACAGAATTTCTTGTTGCAGCCAGGGGAAGAGGGATTCCGGTTCGGTGGCCTCAGGATTACATTTCTGCTCTTTGCAGATAATGTGGTCATGTTAGCTTCATCTTGCAGTGATCTTCAGCTCTCATTGGAGCGGTTCACAGCCGAGTGTGAAGCGGCTGGGATGAGAATCAGCACCTCCAAATCTGAGGCCATGGTCCTCAACCGGAAAAGGGTGGATTGTGCTCTTCAGGTTGAGGGTGAAGTTTTGCCTCAAGTGGAGGAGTTCAAGTATCTCTGGGTTTTGTTCACGAGTGAGGGAAGAATGGAGCGTGAGATTGACAGATGGATTGGTGCAGCGTCTGCAGTATTGCGGACTCTGTACCAGTTTGTTGTGGTGAAGAGAGAGCTGAGCTGTAAGGCAAAGATCTCTGTTTACAGGTCGGTTTACATTCTTACCCTTACCTATGGTCATGAGCTCTGGGTAGTGACCGAAAGAATGAGATCATGGATACAGGCAGTTGAAATGAGTTTCCTCCACAGGGTAGCTGGACTCTCCCTTAGAGATAGGGTAAGAAGTTTGGTTATCCGGGGAGAGACTCAGAGTAGAACTGCTGCTCCTCCACATTGAGAGGAGCCAATTGAGGTGGTTCAAGCATCTGGTAAGGATGCTCCCTGGGCACCTCCCTAGGGATGTGTTTCGGGCATTTCCTACTGGGAGGAGTCTGTGAGGAAGACCCAGGACACGCTGGAGAGACTATTTCTCTCGGTTGACCTGGGAACACCTTGGAATCCTCCCAGAAGAGCTGGAAGAGGTGGCTGTGGAAAGAGATGTCTGGGCCTCCCTGCTCAAGTTGCTGCCTCCACGACCCGACTTCGGAATAAGCGGGAGATAATGGATGGATGGATGGATGGATTTGGTTAGAGTTTGGGTACTCTTAACTGATCAAAACGATTATGACCAATAAGAAAGACTTATTATGAAAAGCGTACTCTTTCAATGGCAACAATTTTGTATACATTAGACTAGTGACACATAGATAGCTGTGCCTGCAGAAGCTGGAAAATGATTTATACATTTATAAAACAATGCGACAACTTTAGCATTTTTTTCATAAAAAAGTTAATAGCTTAGTAAGTTTAATGAATATAATACTTACATTGCTGAAATGGTAAAGTGAAGTTGTTCATCGTTCAACAAAATGTAACGCTGCCTCATTTCAATATTAACTTCAAAGCTTGGTAGAACTAGAGTGCATAACACAACCAGTTTTTATTTATACACACACACACACATTTATATATATATATATTAAATAAATATATTTTGTTAATTTTAAGAAATGTTTAATACTTAAAATATGTTAGACTTACCAAATTTTTTCACTTTGAATTCTCGGACAGCAGCATTTTCTTCATCATCTTCATAATGTGCAGTAATCTTCCATGTGCCCATTCTGTGTGAATAAAACACATGTTGGTTTTGATGTGGTGAGTCTGTTTTTTAAAACATACGTTAACATACTTTGATACACTTGGTATGGGAAAATGGCTTCTGATAATCCCTCCTTCTGGAGCTGTCAAAGACTTTAGTATCCTATTGCCATCAGCATTCTGTTTTAAATCAAAGGAAAATAATTACTGTACAGGCAAGGAAACATTTAAATCATTTGTAATGACATTTCAAAGTTTTATTTATTTAAAAAATATCTAATGAACAAAAGCTACAAATAAAACTCAACTACTCACAAATACTGATATGTGGACAGTTTCTTCGTGTGGTCTAAACATGTGATCTAGCGTGAATACCCTGTAATTTACTGAGAGAAAAAAATGCTCAACATGAATTTATTAGTAATTCTGTTATGGAACATTTATCTTTATATAAAGTTATTGGCTTTATTTATTTATTACCGTTTTGTGTTGGGTTGTACATCGGCTGATCAGTCTGGATAAAGATATATCCTCTGTGATTTGAAACCAGGACCCTTGTTATCTTCTTGTCACTGGAGTTAGCCACCACTGCCACTAGGTTGAGATAGGGCGTTTTATGAGAATTTCTACTTGTGATCATTGGCCAACTCTCCTGGTTTATCTTTAAGGGAGGAAATGAGAAATTAAAGCAAATGCCGTTTCATTCAGGATTTTAAAATACATTAAGCTGTTTTCATACCATCAGCTCAACTGTTTTGAGTTCCCCTTCTTGAGTACACTCAGTAGTTGTCTTTGCAGACATAAGTGCCCCGGTATTTCCATCCTCCAAGTGGAGAGTAACTTGTTTCTTCAGATTATTACCCCCCATCTGGACAAGCACTTTCTCTTTCACACCCACATGAAATACATTGGGGGCTGAGATGAAGAATCTGCTTGGAGAAGTGATATTTACTTTTTGCTGCATATTTCATAACCAACGTTTCATTCATTAATTGATATTATGCATAAACATTTAGATTACTTTTTTACCTATACTTAGCAACAGAATGATAGTACATAATAAAAATGACAGTTGTGTAATTTGTAATAAATGTCACATAAAAGTAAATAAAAACACATAATTAACTAAGTTGGCAATGCTCACAAAAAGTTAAATTATGACATAGATATAAAGTGTTCACAGTTATATGTTCATTTACCTGTCTGAGCCCTCCACAGTGGAGATCAGGAGAAGTACTGAGACAATGCAGCACTTCATTTTGCAGCTTCTGTTGCCTCCCCCAGTCTGACTCAGGCTTTGGAAAAACTGAGGTTTTATAAGTCCTCCCCTCCACTTTATTTCTCAATTGTTGGATCGAGCAATGCCCTTTCTGTTTTCTCTACTAAGAACACTTAGAAATATCTTGGAGATGTCACTCCTCTAAGAGATGTGCTGTGCTTCACTTGCCAGTTGGCACTAAATATTGAGGAGAAAATGTGTCAGTGCCAGATGTGCAGTAAAAAGTACAAACAACGTATTGTGGCTCCACAGAATTTAAATTTCTATATTGATACTTGATTTAAAAGAAAATTGTTATATAGATTTTATCAAATAGAGTAAAACTTGGGAGTTTTTAGAATGACATGTTTGACTTCAGATAGTTGTTTATTTTATCAGTGCTTGGCTCAGGGCATGGAAAGTGTTTACTTCAGTTTCACAATCTGTAACCCTCTCCTCACTGCTCTCTGCAGTGAGACCGATTTCCCCTAAATCATGTGATTTACAAGAAATCAAAGGTTCTTCATTTAGATTAGGAAAGAGAACTGTTTAAATTAAACTTTAAGAGAAGTTCATATAAGTAAAACAACAAAGTTCATGCTCAATCATCCAGGTACCAAATCCAATAATTATCACTTGGGTCATCTGGACAGTTTCTTTTTTTTTTTTTTTTTTAGACTCTATTTTAAAACTTTTTTGTTAATGGGAATATATGTAATTAAAGTTTAGTTATATGTTGTAAGAAGTAATTTCACAAGATTAAACCCAGTTTCACTATTTTAATTATGTTACCTAATTACAGCTGCATATTTTAAACTTTCATAGTAATGTGTGTGTGTGTGTGTGTGTGCGTGCGTGCGTGCGTGTGTGCGTGTGTGTGTGTGTGTGTGTGTGTGTGTGTGTGGTTTCAATCTCTAAAAGTCAATGTTGAAGTTTTGAACAAATGTCTTGCACAATGAGTTGCATTTAGTGTTGCGAATGACTCTCAGCTACAACTACACCAGTTATTGTTCAACATCTATACAATTTATTGAGTTGTAGACATTTTTTTCCTAGTTGAGTTGACTAATAATAATAATGAGAGAAAGATCTTTCAGTTATCATTCAACCTTTATTTAGACAGATAAGTCAAAGTGAGCCTAGAAGACTCATTTACAAGTGAGGTCTGTTTAGTCAAACAAAAAGTAGTGAAACTGGACACATAGGAGTTATCAGGCTCCTCTCGTGTGGAACCAACTTCCAGTTTCTGTCCATTAGGCTGACACATTGTCCAGTTTTAAGACTGGGCTTAAGTCTTTCGTTTTAAATAAATCCTATAGTTAGGGTTGGCTTGGGTTTCCTGAGCTATCCCTTAGTTATGCTGCTATAGGCTTAGACTGCTGGATGACAAACTGACCACATTTCTTCACTATGCTACTGTCTTTACTTACTCTACTCTACCTGCTTTGTATTTGTAATTTTTTCTATCCTTGACGTTTGTTTTTGTCTTTCTTCCAATAGGGGGTACACCTGCACCTGCATCTGGACCTGCTGTTCTGTGTTCGTTTGTGTCTCCTTCCTGTCCTCTCAAGCCCATCCGGTCGAAGCAGATGGCCGCTTGTCCTGAGCCTGGTTCTGCTGGAGGTTTCTTCCTGTTAAAAGGGAGTTTTTCCTTTCCACTGTTGCCTTTGTGCTTGCTCCAGTTGGGAGACTGTGACGAAGTGAAGCGTCAACGCTCCTGCTGGCTTCCTTCCTCAGATAGATAGTCTTACTAATTGGCTTTTGTATGTGCATGTTTCTGTTCAGTGCCTTGAGACAACTTCTATTGTGACTTGGTGCTGTAAATAAACTGAACTGAATTAAATTAATAGGTGGCCATCTTGAAATCAGTTGGCTTCAAAAGTTAATTAGATGTTAATATTCATTCAATAACTATTTTCTCAAAGTGTGTGTAAAATCAGTTTATTTGTTCATGAGATATTTTGTTAAGCACTGTGTAATTTAACCAAAGTCCTGCACAATCAGTTAGTGTGTGGTATGTGGTTGAAGACGACTTTCTTCTTCTTCTACATGACACCTGAAATGTGAGTTCAGTATCTGAAAATTTAACTTAGTTATAACCATCTCTGTGTTTGTTAATGCTGATTAGCTGTCGTGGCCATTTTGAATTGGATTAACTAGTCACCCCTCCTGCTGTCTTGGGTCAAGGACAGTAGAAGAGTTAAACGTTATGTACATCTAATGAGTACACTGAAAGTTTCATTAAAATTCATCCAGTATTTTACGAGATATTTTGATAACAGACACAAACACACACACACACACGCCCACAACACCTCCCCCCCCCTCTCCCTCACCCACGCCCGCCGCAGGCGGGACTAGTTAATCCAATTCAAAACAGTCGCCGCGTGGCGGTGCGCGCTGGGTCGAACTC